ACATATGTCTATTATATACAATGTGGATGTACCTATGTGTTGTAAACAAAAATGTGGAAGGCAATGAACAACTTTAATACAGGTTCGTAAAAATTCAATCACATCAAGATACTATAGGTTCGCATCTCCACCGGAGCAAGCTTTTTTCTAATATTCTTCCTCGTCGTGCAATAATATTAGTAATATTCTCAGAATATTTAAAACAGTTCATTCCGCATGTTCATAGAACGTCCCTAGAATATTTTTCTACGACAATAACACAAAATTGCTCTTGTTATACGACGCTATACATAGTGGAGTATACTACGGCCGTGCCAAAAATGCTATCTCGGAAACTAAGCGAGATAGAGGTATAGTTGCTTTGGAGAAAATGATCCCCATCGAATTTTGAGCAACTTTGGTTTTTGTGTGTGGTCTGTCTGTCTGTCTGTCTGTACTCTGTGTTAATCATAAATCGATATATCTCCGGAACCCTTTGACATATCGACTTGAAATTTTGCCATCTTATTGTACTCAAAACAATATTATGTCATTGAAATATGAAGGAAATCGGAAAACTCTAAGGTGGTTTTTCCGGGTTTTTTCGATTTTTCACCGGAAGTTCCTTGTAAGCACTCTACAAATCGCAAAAGTGGTCCGATCGATTTCATTCTTTGTGAAAGAAACCTATATCAGGAAGAGACGAAGCCTATTGAAATTGAGCAGGGTCGGAAAATTCCAAGTGGGTTTTTCAAGGAGATTTTCCGAAAAACACGGTTCGCTTTGAAACGACATATCTCGTGAACAAATAGACTAAATCCAAATTTGAGAAATGCACCGTATGCCTCTTTGATGACGCAACAAATTATCATTCAATCATTTTTTCGTGCATCCATCGGAAACTGGAAAAACAAATGGAAACCCAAACATCAAAATTTGAAATCCTTTTAATTCAATATATATCGAAAACAAATGGAAAAATCGAAAATTATCAAGAGTGCAATGTTATCCACTGGAACATTCCCTACAAATCATTTTCCATAATTTTTTCTGTTAACCCAATAGTACAGGAAATAAAGTGAAAAATATGAAAAAAAAAATTTTAACGACCCATAGGGTACTATGAAGATATATTGAAAAACATAGATTATCGATAGATGAAGCTCATCTACCTCCACTGAGGCATGGAATATTTTTTCATTTTGTTGATTGGAAGATGGAACAAAAGTGTTGAAAATTTTATTCTCAGATAATTCCAAATATCTCGAAAACAACTGAAAATATCTGAAAATGTTATAGAACCAAAATTATTCCTTTTGATAAAATCCACAAAAAATCCTCATAACATTTTTTTCTGAATTTAATAGTTCGGGAGATACGATGAAAAAACTAAAAAATTTACAAGTTCCTAGATAATCACTTGCCAATAGAAAACGAAACAAGAAACAAAGAAAGTAAAAAAAAGGACAATCGACTGTCTTGATTTTTTTCCCATTAACTACGTACCGAGCTCACTCGACTGCCTGAATTTCTTGCCCATAAACTACGTACCTAGCTCAATCGACTGTCTTGATTTCCCACAAAGAAGAAATATGTTGGCATTGTTTTAACTTTCTTTTGTTTTTGTTTTTTTAGTCCCTATTGGCAGTCGAGTGGGCTAGGTACGTAGTTTGTGTGGAAACACCAAGACAGTCGAGTGGGCTAAGTACGTAGTTTGTGGAAAAAATCTCCAGTTCTCTGAACTTCCATAGCGTCGTATACACATCTTTGGTGCCCAGAGATAGTTTCAATATATGCTCATGATATGGTGCCATGGCCTCTACTTCCATCTTACATGAGCAACTATAAAATATCATCTGCTTTTATAGCGTCGTATAAATTATCTGACATCTAATACCTAATGAAAACTACATCATACTAATCTAATACCTTCCAAAAACTACGTAGGTACCTCACTTGTTATACGACGCTATACATAGTGGAGTATACTACGGCCGTGCCAAAAATGCTATCTCGGAAACTAAGCGAGATAGAGGTATAGTTGCTTTGGAGAAAATGATCCCCATCGAATTTTGAGCAACTTTGGTTTTTGTGTGTGGTCTGTCTGTCTGTCTGTCTGTACTCTGTGTTAATCATAAATCGATATATCTCCGGAACCCTTTGACATATCGACTTGAAATTTTGCCATCTTATTGTACTCAAAACAATATTATGTCATTAAAATATGAAGGAAATCGGAAAACTCTAAGGTGGTTTTTCCGGGTTTTTTCGATTTTTCACCGGAAGTTCCTTGTAATCACTCTACAAATCGCAAAAGTGGTCCGATCGATTTCATTTTTTGTGAAAAAAACCTCTATCAGGAAGAGACGAAGCCTATTGAAATTGAGGAGGGTCGGGAAATTCCAAGTGGGTTTTTCAAGGAGATTTTCCGAAAAACACGATTCACTTTAAAACGACATATCTCCTGAACCAATAGAATAAATCCGAATTTGAAAAATGCACCGTATGCCTCTTTGATGACGCAACAAATTATTATTTAACCATTTTTTCGTGCATCCATCGGAAAATGGAAAAACAAATGAAAATCAAAACATCAAAATTTGAAATCCTTTCAATTCAATATATATCGAAAACAAATGGAGAAATCGAAAATTATCAAGAGTGCAAAGTTATCCACTGGAACATTTCCTACAAATTATTCTCCATATTTTTTTCTGTAAACCCAATAGTACAGGAAATAAAGTGAAAAATATGAAAAAAAAAATTTTAACGATCCATAGGGTACTATGAAGATATATTGAAAAACAAAGATTATCGATAGATTAAGCTCATCGACTTCTACTGAACCATGAAATATTTTTTTCATTTTGTCGATTGGAAGATGGAACAAAAGTGTTGAAAATTTTAATCTCAGATAATTCCAAATATCTCGAAAACAACTAGAAATATCTGAAAATGTTATGGCACCAAAATTATTCCTTTTGATGAAATCTACAAAAAATCTGTATAACATTTTTCTCTGAATTCAATAGTTCGGGAGATACGATGAAAAAACTAAAAAATTCACAAGTTCCTAAATAATCACTTGCCAATAGAAAACGAAACAAAGAACAAAAGAAAGTAAAAGAAGCAGACTCGAGTGTCTTGATTTTTTACTCATAAACTACGTACCTAGCTCACTCGACTGTGTGAAAAAACCAAGACAGTCGAGTGGGCTAAGTACGTAGTTTGTGGGAAAAATCTCCAATTCTATGAACTTTCATAGCGTCGTATACACATCCTTGGTGCCCAATGATAGTTTCAATATAAAAATATACTCATGATATGGTGCCATGGCCTCTACTTCCATCCTACATGAGCAATGATAAAATATAATCTGCTTTTATAGCGTCGTATAAATTATCTGACCTCTAAATAAACTAATACCTTATGAAAACTACATCTATACTAATCTGATACCTTTCAAAAACTACGTACCCCACTTGTTTTACTGTGTTCGATACATCAATGAGGTACTTTGTATGTCATCAATTTTATTTCCGTATCTGATATCACAATGACTCCATTGTGTTATTATTTCGAAAAAATATCATCGCTCATGGAATGTCAAATTTCAAGCAATGACAGCACCGTCTAATAGATGAGCATTACTTGAGAGGAAATCAAATGGCTACTAGACAAAAAAATCAAAAATGCCTCTGTTATCTATTATAGCCGTAGAAAAATTATACTCGAATAATTGCATCATTCGCCTATGGCTCATGCTGCAAACTTCATTCTCGTGGGAAATCACTATCATTCCGTGCTCGTTGAACAATATACTATTGTATCACATTGTGAGAATAATATGAGATTAATAAAATATTCTCTAAGAATATCCTATGGACGTTCTATGAATGACATTGTGCTATCTGGCATAATGGTGCGGTTTCGTTTGGCATTAATATTCAATATTCGATGCAATCTCCCGTGCTACAGGTGGACTTTACCGTGTAGGGCTGGGCGTATTCCAACGCCTCCTGTATCGACGGTAGATGGGAGATGTCTAGATGTGCAACCGTGCCGAAAACGAGTTCCGCATTTCTTCAAAATATCTTATCAATCTTCCACTTTGTTGTTTTTATAATTTTAATTAATTATCTACCTGACTGAGATTCAATGGCGATTAGGTTTTACCGAATCGACAGATTGCTAGGAACTCTTCTACGATAGAAAATTCAATTGGAGAGAGTAAGTATAGATAAACACGATTAATAGTAATTATTGAACAGCTCGGATTTCATAATTTAATATCCCTTCGAACTACATCCACATAGTTCATTTTCGTAGACAACAAAAATTCAAATGCGGAAGCCATTATAGGTAGTATAGGAACAAACCGGAGTGAAATTGCACTTTCCGTTGCTAGATATGACGATTTGGAATTTCCTAATAAGAAACTTATAGTTTTCCCTATATACATATGCCCCTGATGTGGTAAATTTTTCAACTTGGGGAGACAACTCCATTCAAACATGTGTTCCTATGTTGGATGGAACAAAATGGAAACATTTTTTCAACATATCTGACAATTCGTAATTTTGATGAAAGTCGCAATTCTGAATCTTGAACCACCCTGTATCTGTTCCGATTAAATATCAGTAAATAGTGAATCAAACGTTGAGATAGGGACATGTGAGCCGTTTTGACTGATAATGAACAGTTTCGACACAAAAAAATCCTAAAGTTGAAAAATCTCGATTTTGAACACCCTATATATCTCTGTAATCATTTCCGATAGACCCCAAGTGTGATATATCTATGAAATCAGTTCTACTACTTTCTAGTAGAAGCAGAAACACTGCATTGTCGAAAATATCTCAAATGAGGAGAGCGTATTCTGAAATATGAGTATGCACATTTTCATGGATTTCTCCCAACTGATTCTCGATATAAAGATAGTATAAGCTCGTCGTAAAATACCCTGTATAGGTCATACAATGACAATGATCGCTGGTTTATTCTTCTTCTCTCTTCCGCAGGTCACAGACACCAATGACAATCCACCGGCGTTCCTCGAGAGCGCCTACTCTTTCGACGTGCCAGAAAACGCGGCCAGAGGATCCAGAGTGGGCCAGATCCAGGCCGTCGATCCAGATTTGGGCGTCAATGCCCAGCTGACCTATTCCGTCGTCAGCGATTGGGCCAACGACGTGTTCTCCTTGAATCCGCAAACTGGAGTCTTCACTCTCACATCCAAACTGGATTACGAAGAGGTGAGTGATATACTACTATTTCTACTCCATATCAACGATTTGTTGGAAGCAACTTCATGTCCACTACAAAGCTTCGCGGATGATAGTACCCTCCATACCGCCTTCTCTTCCAGGGCTCCAATGCCAGCCAGGCAAATCAGAAACGAACGAGGGAGAAATGTTGACAACATAAATATGGACTTGGCAACAATTCTCGAATGGGGATCCAATAACTTGGTAGATTTGAATCCAAACAAAACACAAGCATGCCTTTTCTCTAGAAAAGCCGATCTCACTGTGCCCAACATAAGCTTGTCAGGAGTAACCATACCTTTGAAGACATCCATTTCGATGCTTGGTATTACTATCAGCAATAACCTTTCTTGGGAAAAGCACGTGAGATCAATTGCTAAAAGTGCATCCCAAAAACTTGGTTTTCTGTTTCGGGCCAGGAGCTATTTCACTTCCAGTCAGCTGCTTATGATCTATAAGGCACAGATCTGACCTGTCCTGGAATAATGTTCCCATATTTGGAGTACAGCACCCAAACATACCCTGAAACTGTTGGATTCTGTCCAAAAAAGGGCAATTCGTCTCGTGGGTGATGCCTCGCTCACAAACTCACTCACTTCTCAGGAACACTGTAGAGAAGTTGGTGATCTGGCTTTATTTTATACATATTTTCATAGACGATGCTCTTCTGAAATATCAACAATAGGTCCTCCCTTAGCAGTCCCCGCGAGATTAACTCGTCGAATTGAGGATTCGCACCCCTTCGTGGTCACTTTGGAGACCTGCAGAACAACTCTTTCCAAAGACTTGTTCATCCAACGAACAGCGAGGCTGTGGAACACATTGCCAAGGAAGGTGTTCACAGAGGCATATAACCTCCAGAAATTTAAGCAGAACACCAATTCCTACCTCATTTCCCTTGGTTATCACGATGTTCTCTGAACATTACAGGATATCCCTTTTCGTGGGAACCAGAACATGAAAAAAAACAAATTATTTAACATATCATTCCACTTTGAGCATTGTGGCTATTTTGTGGATGAATATGTATGTTCCATAGTGAGCTGATATATTCATTCACTGTGACACTGTATTGAGACGTCCAATATGTTTCATTGTGAATCGATATTTCAGAGATTAGAGATATTGGCGGAGTAGAGTGTATCCGGAAAGTGTTCCCGAGGCATATGACCTCCAGAAATTTAAGAAGAACACAAATTCTTACCTTATTTCCCTTGGTTCCCACGATGTTCTCTGAACATTACAAGATATCCCTTTTCGTGGGAACCAGAACATAAAAAAAAATATTGATAGGATTTCTTTTATATCCAGACGTACTCGCGAAAAGGCTTATTAACATATCATAATTTAGGAGAATGTGAAAATTAGTTATGAAAATGCAATAACGTATAAAGGTAATTACAAAACGATTAGATGAACTAAATAAATAAATAAATAACGACGTTATAACACCTTATGAGTTGGTGAATGGATTGGTGTAAGGCAATAATTTCAATAAGGAAGCATTTGCAGTCTGTACCTCACGAGTATCTCATTTTTTATCGTCCTCTTCTCAATGCATACTATCACAATAATGATGCGTAGGTGACAATGGCTCTTACAAATCTAATAAATAGCCAATATATCATGTATATGTATGCATAACATAGAGAAATTCCATATCCATAAGGTTAGTCATTCTCAATCTGACACGGCACAGTATCATGTTACTGTTACGAGTGTTACGTAATACTTTTCCGACGGAGGCATATGAATTTCATATACCCATGTTTAAAAGCATTCCAACACCATTGTTGAGTCTCAAGTATTTCTATTGTATAGAGTGTTCTCTAGTTAAGTGTTTCTTCCACACTACACTGTTTTACCATACTAACCAAACCGATTTTTTAACGCCTCGACACGTGTTTCGCTAACTATGTTTAGTTAGTGTTTCTTCCAGTCAGTTTAATCAGTTGCGATTAGGAATATTTGCAATATGCTTCAAGGAGAGAAGTAACATCCTTGTTGATAGTGATTTAAAACTGTCATACCTCAAGTTGAATCTCTCCTTGCCATCAAATCGTTATCAGGTATTGATAGGTGTTGTACATTCTGGACATTTTTGTTCCAATGAGAAAAGACGTATGGGGGTTTTCTCGTATATCAACCAAGAAGAAGAATTTCTCATTTCCTGATCTGCAAACTAATCGAAGTAATCGCCTGGCGGCCTATGGAGTAACGCGAGAAATTATCCTCCCATCTGCGGCTGTCTTCTGCATTAGAAACGAATTGCTTAATTATCATGCCCTATGGTAATTTTCATTGTCAATAGAGTGTGAATGATTTGCATAAAAATGTGGTACTTGCTGATGCTAGCCTCGACCGGAGCGTCCGCAAATTGCTTCTACGTCAGCACACACATAATATATAAGGTGACTGGTGCAAGTACTACAAGTGCAAGTTCACGAGAAAGTAGCGAATGAAGAGACGAGGTTCGATGCGAGTTTGCTCTCTATCGAGGAACTGTTTCAAGGTCACGGTTAATTTGGCGATACACAGTGTCACCAACTTGTGCACAACAAGGATCTATAAGAATGGGTTGATGACTCAATATTCATTATTATTATTTTTTTCTGTGACGGGAAAAAAGTTTGGCATTTCATCTTTGTTGGCAGGTCACTTTTCATAAATAACTTCCTCCCGTAGGAAAAAAGTGAGTACTTTTTTCCTGGATATATATCACATATATATACACTGTTGATGGCTTTTGTTGTGCTATAGTTCCGAAAAAAAAATGAGTCAATAATACCGTCTCCGAGAAAGAGCGGCAAGTCCTTTTATCTTCCATTCGATTTCGCGGTTACGTATATTACTAAACAACCACTAAATTCGTCAGAAGTGACATCAGATATTTGATTACTTCAAAAGAATGATGAAGATGCCTACAACGCAGGTGTCCGTACTATTGAAAACTTAAAATTTCACGTCGATAATTTTCAGATTTCAAAATAATGTAATATCTTCTCAATATTGATTCGTGCTTTCTTCTGTCACAGAAAAAAATAGTGTAATATACACGGGAAAAATATTAGATTTTAGCTCACAACCTGGAGCTAAAATCTACTACTTTTTTCCCTTGTATAATAGATAACTATTATCCTTCTCAAAATCGTATTGATATGTCGCTGGTGAATTATAACTATGGAAGACAGCTCCATTCAGTTATCTTACTTCCTGTTATTTATGTGTTTCAATATCTCTCATATTTCTCGAGATATTGATCTGAATGTTGAATGTTGTTGTAATAATCATCATTGAATTGTGGGTGAGGCCACTGGTTGGTCTATAGTTGTGTTCTTATAGGCATTCCTGCATCTGCTCCTGTGCATTCTATTCTGTATTCTGAATCTGTTTCAGTGGTTTTGTACCTGATACTCCAGTTTCAACTGATAAATTGAATGAATACATTTCCTAGGCAGAAAATAGAAATATCATTGATCGTTTCCGACAAAGATTCGATTTGGATCCTGCATAGTTTTTGTCTTCAGGAATAGACTTTGAGAACAGTTTTTAGTCATCAATAACTCTGGTAACTTTGCCTCTGGTCCTGGTCTGATCGATAACATTGACCCTTGGTTTATTTTATAGGCACCTCCTGTAAATTTCTTCAGTGTTGCTACCACCCCAACATGGGGATGCCAACGGATGGCATAATTCCAAAATATAGCTTTGAAAAAACTTTTAAAATAAGTATAACGGACAGAGAGGCATGGAAGGAAGGACCTCCTATCAATGCAGACATTGCTGTCTATACGGACGGCTCCAAAACTGAGGAAGGATCAGGAGCAGGTATTTATGGGGCCAAGCCAAAGACAAGAATCTCACTGAGCTTAGGCAAATACGCGACGGTGTTTCAGGCAGAAATTATTGCAATACATCATTGCGTGAAGGAATTGATGAGGCAAGAGTTTAAAGGCAAAACCATTGCAATCTATTCAGATAGCCAGGCGGCAATCAAAGCAGTCAACTCTATATGCAAGTTAACTCAAAACTAGTATGGGACTGCTTAGAAACCCTAAATGCACTGGGCAGTCAGAACAGATTGACTCTAGCATGGGTACCAGCACATACAGGGTACGAGGGCAATGAAGAGGCAGGCTCACTTGCCCGAGCAGGAGCAAACAAAGCTCTTAATGGCCCAGAACCCTTCTGTGGTATTGCGAAAGCTTTACAAAAGACTAGTATCAAATCATGGATGCAAACCAAATCTCGAGAATGGTGGAACAACTCGCCAGGAATGAGACAGGCTAAAGAGTTTATTAAAAAACCATCGCCAACATTCACAGAATATCTACTAAGCCAGGAACGAAGTTCAACTAGAATACTAGTGGGACTTCTCACAGGGCATTGTGGGCTCAACAAACACATGAGTACGATAGGTCTGACTGAAGAACTGCTGTGCAGGTTCTGTCAAGAAGAGGAAGAAACAGCAGTACACATACTTTGCCACTGTGAGGGCTTGTCAAGACTAAGGTTCCTTACGCTGGGTGAGGAAAAACTAGGAGCCCAGAGATACACAGGAGATCTGAAAGCTAGCCTATGGAGTCTCATAGAGAAGGCGGGGCTTGCCGAAGAACTCTAATCGATTTTGAGGGCAGACACAATAGATCTGAAAAGGTCGCAGTGTGGAGGCAGAAAGCCCGAAGTCCCCATTCCAAATCTAATCTAATCTAAGGCCTCCTCACCAACTCAGTTTGAAGGAGTAGGTGAAGTAAATCACCTCAATCTGGCGCCCAAGTTATCTGAAGCAGGTCCCAGAAGTCTTTGAAAAGGCCCCAAAAATATAGGCTATTCGAATATCCAATTCAACGCCCTATATCTTCTCTAGGAATTCTACTTGGGGGTATATGGACAACAGATATATGTTCAATATTTCTCAAAGATCTGGAACCCATGTACTTCATTTTTTCGGAGAAAATCAAATCACTGTGATACTGAAATGCCAATTA